TTATTTTTTACAGTTTCTAGAGTACTGGAGAAAATTAAATAAAGTACTGTAGCTAATGGAGAAACGATAGCTTTTTGGTTTTTACACCTTTAAGGTAAAGCTCTTTTTTCTAACTCTAATAGCGGATTTTTGATCAAGCATCAATATAACATGAAACTTTGCGAGCATTCCCACTTGGCTTACTGTATCTTCTAAACCTATACCTGTACCAAAAGAAGGAAAAGCAGAAGAAAAGGAGCCAGAATAAAATGCAAATGAGAATGGCCTGAAAAACAATAGCCGGACAAAACCACCGACAACCTTGCACCCAAGTCGTAAAAGACGATGTTAGTAATAAACGGACCTTTCGAGGACGTTTAGAAAAGAAGAACAAATTAGGAAGAGCAAAAAAATGTTCGTTTTTATAATCCATTCGAAATAATTTTGAAAAATCATTATTTTATTTAATTTTCCACCTTTTTTTTTTTGAACGTTTTGTTTCTCCTAGCGTACTTCATCCTGAAAAGTCGGAAAACCATGAATAAAAAAAACGGGATTTTTTTCCTCTCTATCCCTGAAAAAAATGTCTAATGAACAGACTTTGAAAAAAAGTCTTTTTTTATTGGGACAAGTGCCATATTAGAATTATGGAAGAAAAAAAATAATAAAAAAATAAATATGCTGATTTTTTTGTGAAATCTATGAAAAAAATAAGCTTTCTATGACTATTTCTAACTCGTTTCATGATAAGATATTATGCTGTTTTTTCATATAGACTCTTTCGCTAAGAAATCGCTAAAGGAAAAGCTTTGAAAATGTGAACTTTATAAATCAAGGCGCACCCGACCCTCAACGATTTGCGCTCGGAGGCATAAGGAAATGTTAGAAAAAGCTGCTGAACTTTCGCAACGCGGTCGCTTCGAGTCATTTAAAATGCGATCAAGTCGTTTCAGAGCAGCGAAGATTGAATATAAAATGGAAAATATCGAAAATTTTTGATTTTCTCGATGGAAACGCGACAAGTGATCCTTTCCCGAATTTATTCAAAAGATTGAAATCTATGTCCATCTGTGGGCATTTGCATCCTCCCATTAATCCACTTCTTCGATTTCTGCAATGAAAAATGAAGGATGACTCGAATAACGATCGAATGCGTCATGATTGAAAAAAATTCAAGCTTTTTTCTTTTAAAGTGTTTGAAGTTTTGGGGCGAAAAAAAAATGCATTTTTTGCCTCCAGTTTTCTTGCTATTTTCATTTTTTTACTTTTTAACAAAAAAAGTTAAATTTTTCTGTTAAAATCAGAAGTTTTTCAACATATAGCTAAAGACGAAGCTCAATTTGCCGTGGAAAGGACGAAAAATTAGCCCAAAAGGCCGGATATTTGATTCTAGCCGTCGTTCAGGCCGTTCCTCGACTCGGCTTGAGCTCTTTTACGAACCAGCAAAAGCCAAGAAACATCCAAATATCATTTCATATGAAGGATTTTTGGTGAAATTTGGTTTTTCAAACTAAAAGAATATGCCCACTTTCAAGCAGAGCCAACCAAGATAGGACAAAAACAAAAATTGAGGCAAAAGCTGAGTGAATGGGCTTGGTCATGCCCAAAAAAAAGTCAACGGATTCATCCGAGCGAATCGGACGGCGGCCTCTGTGCCAGTTAAAAAAGTTTAGAGGAGGGGCTCACCTATACAATGGCACAGGAAACGGAGGAGCTTCGGCTTTTCCTTCAACCTTCTTTCTTCCTTTTCAGTCTGAGAACCTTGGAAATAGTAAGCAGCCGGTAATACTTGAGAAGAGGCCACAAAACTTTATCATAAATATGGTTGCTTTTCTAAAAATCGAAGGCATTTAGGTCGGAAAAATGTCGAAAAAAAGTTGGTGAGTTCTACCAAGAGGCGCCTTCTGTCGACTCCTATTTTGAACAGGAGATGCTTTACTGAACTAGTCAAAAAACCAGAAAGAAAAGTTCGGTCTTTCTCCGCTAGATTGGAAATCCGGTTTCAGTCGGGCGCACTGACTTCCGATGCAAAAAGTAAAAATGAGCAAATTGGTCAACTTTTTGGCCGCCGGACACGAAATGAAGTGTTGAGATGATTCCTCCTCCTCTTCGTCAATCAAATTAGGCGGCCTGACAAGCGCCGCAATGTTGGCGGGAATGAAGAAGTTGAGAATAAAAAATCCCTTTTTGGTTAAACCTCCAGAGACCACCACTCCGAGTTATTGCGGCTAAAAAAGTAGGAGATATTGCGCTCCAATGAACAGGAAAGGTTTCGTTGATTTTTCAAAATATTTTAAGAGGAAAAGTACTTTTAGACTTCCAGAATTTTACTGGGGTTCGAAAGTAGAGGAACTTGTGCTCCATTTATCAGGGGTTTTTTTAGATTAGTAGGTAGAGCATCAACTGTATCAAAAAGATTGAAAAATAAAAAAATTTCAAATTTTTTTTTTTGAGTGTCTCTTTAATTTCAAACGCTCTAACCATCATTCTCGAAAGAAAGTTTTTTGGTTCGTGTCGTCCGAATATAAATTGGGAGGTTTTTCAGTTGAAGAAAACGCGCGCTACTGGGAAATAATCAAAAAAATTATATCAACTCGGGCATGGGCAACGCAGAACGGATGTCCTCCAGACGTTTCTAAGTTATTATAGGGATCACTTAAAAGGGCTAACGCTACTAAATTGGTCACTAGAAATGCCCCTACGCGTCCGATTTGCGTTTTCCGCGTCCGAAAAGTCCGTGTTCGAGAAAAAAACAGTCTTATACAAAACAGAAGCGAAATAGTGCGCAAAAATGAGAGGGCCTAAAATTTTTTTTGACATCGCATTAATATATCATGCTTCGATCAAAATTTCGACTTTTCCGAACTTTCATACACATTTTGGGGTAGTTTTTAACCTTTGAGGGATTAAAAAGAATCTGTGTATTATAGCTTCTAATAAGTTCGAAATCTCCAAAGATAACGAATAAATCTCGACTTTGAAGCGAGAACAAAAGAGGTGGAAAGTCAAGAATGGGGCCGGAAAGGGCGCATTTGATGAATGAATGCCTTTTCGGTTAAGCTTAAGGAATTAACGCCCCCAATGCGAAAGCTTTGAGCGAAGGAGAACCCATCCTGGGACCAAAAGTAAACAAAATGAGAAGTTATAGTGGTTGCGGAAGTCAGAACTCGAGTGATTTTGGAGGTCGGAGGTTGCTTAAGAGAATTTTCAAAGTTTTCAGTCGCTTGACTTTTTGTTTCCAGATTTTGGCTTTCATCAAGTTTAACTTAACTGCAGTGAGAAGAGCGTTTGAGAATTAGCAAAATGAAAATAATAAAAACACCTTGAAATTTTAGGAACGGAAAAGGTATAAAGGATGATCAAGATATGTTACAAGCTTTTATAATTGTTAAATTTATTTCAATCTCATTTCTTAGTTTTTGCGACTTTTCTCGGTTTGAAAATGCGCACAGGATTGAAAAAATTAGAAAAAAGGGAGGATACTCATTGCAGGACAAAAGAGAAACGATCTTTTTCAATTTTTGTGGTTTGGGGTTGGATTAAGGAAACTTTAATATTGTAGGGATTACTTGATTGTTTTATTTTCCAGAAGTTACTCCGAAATCGACATCTTGTAGTGATTCTGCTTGTTGAATTTCTCCCAGAAAATTAGAAGAATTTTTATTTGAGCGAGGGAAAATAGGGACACATTAAAAAAAAAGTTTTTTACACTCTTCAAGTCCAAGCACCGAAAAAGAGCTAGGATTTCTTGTAAATTGCGGCTTTTTTGATTAAATAATCCTTTTTATAGTAAAGTACAGCTGAGGAAAAGGCCGTATAGTGCGGTCGCATTTCATTTCGTTTCATTTCGAAGGAACTAATCAAGTAGAAATCTGACCAGGAGCTTTCAGCCGAGATGAAACATTGGAAATGAGGTCCGGCGGATAATGAGAGAATGAGGAGGGCATCTGCCTTTTCGCCGTGGCGCGCACTTTTCATGATCTTTTCAATCTGGGCCGAGAGCCAATAACATATAATTCTAACTTTTTTTTTTGAGTACGAAGAATGAACATAGTGGGGTTTCATCTACAACATGAGAAGTTGGTAAAGTTTTTTTTACTATGAAAATCCTACAGTAACAAAAATTTTCAAAACTAACATGGATGAATTATGTGAATCTTGATTTACGTTGACCGACATCGGATGAATGTGGTACCGAGATACTCATCACTCTTTATTTCATTTGGTGACAAAACTTACAGAAAATGTCTTCCAAATCGTGAGCTTTTTCTGAACCTGAGTTATTTGAATAATTCCTTTTCTTTTTAATGAATGAAAATGAACAAGGAGCCTTTGGGTCATGATTGAATTAGAGCTTTATAAGCCCTAAAATAGTTTATAATAGTTTTTCTTCCAATTTCCTGTATTTCAAATGCAAAAAAATCAACAAAAAATTTTGCCGCCAGCAGGGGTCGAACCTGCGACCTTGGGCTTATTAGACCCACGCTCTAACCGACTGAGCTATGGCGGCGCGTGCTCCTACGATTTGAAAACGGCGTCTACTTCCCTTCTTGTGGTGATAACACTGGAACATCCCAATCCATTTATTCATAAAATATCAAAAAAATAAATAAATTGAGAAGAAAAGCAAGGAGGAAGAGCCCGATGTCAAGGCAAGTTTTAGGCGAATAGGAGAATTTTTTAGGAAGAATCTAAGGCACAGAACAAAACTGAAGACCAGAAATGCGTGGAAAGAGCTTTGAGGGGAAAATGTAAGAGAAAAGAAGGAAGTAAGGCGAGAAACCTGAGAAGAAAGAGGAGGAAAGACAGAAACGAATGTACAGAAAAAATTGGAAAGATAGACTAGGAATGAAGCGGTTTTTTGTGGATTCGTCCAAAAGAGAAGCACCCGATTTTTGAAATAAAGTTCAAAAATTTTGAAAACAAGTAATAATAGTGAAGCTTTCAAGACGTGAAAGTGATTATCGAACCGTTAATTTTTCCAAATTCACTTTCTTATTCAAACATAAGCGAATTTAACGTCAGCAGACGCTTTTTTCAGGGTTACTGTGGGCTTCTTCTTCGCGTCGAGACCCTTCTTCCGCGATTCGCGCCTCTCTACGCGCTTGCATCTCCGGATCGTCTCTGCAACAATGACTCTCTTGGTAAGAAACTTGATTTGAATGAAAAGTTCGCTGGTTCAATTCCACTCACCTGATATCATAATTGCGGATCATCCAGTTTTTGTTGATGACGAAAAATCGGAAAATACAGCGGAAGATTGAGGCCTCGGCTCTGAAAATTTTTTGTTCGCATTTGGAATGGTGAAAGATCCTTTTTATTTGGGAATTCTAACCTGTATTGAGTGAAAAGGGCGATCAAGAAGGCTGTCATGAACATTGTTCCACAAATGACCACGTTTGCATCGAAAAGCTCGGAAAGAGGTGGATAGGTGGCGTAGTGGCTAAAAAATTGCATATTTTGTGGTTATTTCAAGGATTTGAGAGCACTAAAAGCAAGGAGTGAACAGCAAAAAGAGGTTTGCCGCCAGCAGGGGTCGAACCTGCGACCTTGGGCTTATTAGACCCACGCTCTAACCGACTGCACTAAGAATAACTGACGAGATAAACGCGAGCTCGGTGGCGGTACATTGACTAACTCGCAAAAATGTCGCTTTTTTCTAGGCGCGATCCCGCATTTCTCTCGGCGCGACCTCGCATTTTTCTCGGCGCCATCTCGCATTTATCTTGCATTTCGGAAATTTTCAAATTGCGAGAGAAATGCGAGCTCGCGCCTAGAAAAGTGCGAGCTGGCGCCCAGAAAAATGCGAGACCGGCGCGAGAAAAAAAGCGAGATGTTTGCGAGCTCGTCAATGTACCGCCAGTGTCTCGCGTTTATCTCGGCAGTTATTCTTAGTGTGAGCTATGGCGGCGCCCAAAGGGACTCACATGGCGACTATAGCGCCTTTTAGGAACTTTTCTAACGATGAGGCAGGTCTAATTTTCAAAATGTTTCCGAAACTCACTGCTCTAACATTTCCAACTGCGGTGGATCGCCATTCAAAGCGCCACCAAAATAGCCGCGTCTTCTCCAAGTATAAGTTGGCGCCAAGGTGATTGCCGGCTCGAAAATGCTAGAAAAAAGAGGATTTTCAAGACAAGTAAAATTGAAAATACCTTCTTTGCTTGGCAGCTGCATTGGCTTGCAAGAAACGGACCGTCAAAGTGCCACAAATAACCATAATAACCAAGGCGATCATAAATAGAACATTTAGAATACAAGAAGATCTGTTGACGTGCGGCAAATGAATGGAGCTCATCTGAAAATGTTCAGTAAGGATCGAACCAACAAGCTCTAAAGAGATAGACAAGCTCTCAACCGTCTGAGCCGAAATACTTACCGAGAAGATATTGCCGCGCCGGTAGTCATATCCGCAGAGCTCGCAACGTGGGGATGGCACCATTTTCCGGGTCGACATTTCCAGCCATCTCTGCAAGGCTCGGACGGTTTTCAAAGTACGGATATTTGTGAAAACAATTCGGAAATTAAGTCAAGGATGTAAGGATTTTTTCAATATTTCGACCGTTGTGTCTTTAAATCTCGAAGATACTATGAATAAACTAGAGGACTTATTTTTCAAGTCCTCAAAGAAAAGTTAAGTTTTTTGTTTCGGTTTTTTTTTTCAAATTTTCTAAATAACTCTGAACTTAGGACGAGCTTGATTTGTTAGGGTGAGTGAACCCTTTTACACCTAATCCAAGATTTTCTGAGCATGAGTATTTCTCTGAGTATTGAAAAATAAATAAATAAATAACCACAATGCAGCCTTTATGAACATAAAGAAGCGTTCCAGAACATCGGCAAGGAGAAATCAAAGGATTTTGACGAGTTGAACTCGTCGTGTGGCATATTCGGCACAATGGCGCTCCATTCGAAAGCAGCGACACTGAAAATCAGGTTAGTCATTTTGAATTTCAAAACCGTAGGGACAAGAAAAAAGCAAAAGAGATTTGCCGCCAGCAGGGGTCGAACCTGCGACCTTGGGCTTATTAGACCCACGCTCTAACCGACTGAGCTATGGCGGCACGTACTAGTTGTGTCGGGAATCTGTGACTATTTCGCTCTTGATTTCGATGTGTAAATTCCACAATCGTTGTAAAATTATCATTTCAAGTTAGGAGATCTTCAAATTAGCTGAATTAGGGTTATAATATTGATTATTTTTGGAAAATTTCCGGAAAAAACTGACCTTTACTTGAGAAAAGCTGAGTGCTTTTGAGATATTCGGTGCCTTTCCAGAGTTTGAAATTGTTTTCCGTGACGTCATCACTTTTCTGAACGACGTCATCATCTAGGCTGATAGCTTCATCAACAATTAGCGGATCGTTTTCGACACTTTCCGAACGGAGCTGCAAATTTTATTTTTAAACCTTCATTTTTTGCACAAAAACTTCAATTGTAAACAAAAAAGCAAACCGATGTATTGAGAGTAGTGTTAGAAAGGCCGCTATCTACAGAATTTGACGAGGTTCCGGTTAACGGATCGGGAATTTTCGTGTGCTCCAACCGGTACTCTTCCTCCATCTGAAAAAAAAAATCAATTTGTGGGGAATTTCGAAATTATTTATAACGAAATAGTTCGCGAAAATGAGAGAGCCAAACCTACAATTACGACATGGAAAAATGATAGTTTTAAGAGGAAATAGTTGTTTCAAAATAGTTAATGGGGACTCTTTCTGCAGAACCCGCGGAAATTAAAGGTTCTAGGTTGAAGAAGAATCTTCTGTGTTGCTCATATTACATCAGCATTTGCAACAGGATCGAAAGTCATTCTTCAGAGGCAATCCTCTTGAGTAGATTCTCTATAAATCAAAATTTTTAACATTTTCTGTTTGTGACTAATTATTGCTGAGGTTAAGAGAAAAAGCTCAAATCGTGAAAATTTTTGATATATCATGAAAATCTGAAAATCATGAAAGACCCATGGCCAAAAACTGATTCAATTCGATGGAAAATGTTCTCATCTAATTTTTAAAAAAAGGAAAAAGTAGTAAAGATCAGCAACCCCAAGAACTGAACCTGGTCTTTTTAAAAAGTTGGCCAGAGATCCCCCTGGTTAGGCGTCATTTTTAGCTAGACGAGCCAAGGCAGCAGTCCGATGTCGCGCGTGATATCGCGCTGTCTTTTGAACGTGTTTAAAGAACGCTTTACTCCCGCTTTAGAAACGCCAAAAATTGCAAGTCTTCGAAAAGTCGAAACTGTCGGACAACCAGAAATATTGATAGTAAGAGTGGTTTATCTATTTATGTTACTTTTCCGAAATGAAAGACGTGACTTAAATTTTTAGATTCAGGGTGAAAATTTACATAGGAAGAGGCTTTGGAATTTTGGAAAACTTGAAAAGGAAAATTTTTCATTTTCCGAATTTCTAAATAAGATTTGTCTTTTTGAATCCATCGAAACTTCCGAACGAGAAACTGTTTTACGAACAATAAAAACGACGAAATTAAGGGTTTTTGACTTTTCAGAACAGACCAACTAGGGATCTGAAAAATTATCTAATCCCTTTTTTTTGTGTTTCTAAGTATATTCTAGATAGGAATGCATTTTGTAGGGGAACTTCTAACTATAAATAGCTTCAAGATTTTTTTAAAGAAAGGACCAACTCAGTCCAGATATTTGTACGAAGATTCTCAAAGTTTTTCTGATTTTTTTCCTATTTCTGTGAGAGAGCAATATTCTCATATAAAAAATAAATTGATAAGCAAGAAACATTCTCAAAACTCAGGGATAGTTGGATTTGAAGAGAGGAGAACTCGCAGAACAATTTTGCTTTAAAAAAGAGGTATCAACCTAACATGAGCAATATCGTGTCTATCATGAGGAAGACAAGTAGAAAGCTGCCTTCTGACCGAACTGAAGCTACCAAAAGCTTAATGAAGACGTGGTGCCCTCCACACATAACCAAATAAGTGGCGCCGCATCAGTCGGATCCCGGGGTCCTCCTTTTCGGTAATTGGCGGTAATTGGTTGGTGAATGGTGAGCATCTGAGTCCCAATGTCGCGTCCGAAATTAAGCATCCGACACCATAATTGCGGCTTCTTAATTCCCCTCATCCGTGACTTCTTTTATTGCTCATGTTACACTATTGACTTCATTCCAACTTGATATCGCGTTTATTGGAACTTCGTTGCTGATCTTAGGAAATTTAGAATTCAATACCACAATTTCACATTTCTAAATCCCTCATCAATGACGTCATGTATTGCTCATGTTATACGTGTATGGGTGTTGGTTTCAGTTGGTCTTGATATTGCTCAGATTGAAAGCTTTTTGCTCATGATACAAAAAGGAAAAGCTAGAAAGCCATTCATGATAAATTGCTAACTTTTTTCTTCTTATTTCGATTCTGAATCACTATTTTGTTCATTTTAAAGAAAAAATGACCTAATTTTAAATGTTTTTTTTGCTCAGAAAACCCCATCCTATTTACCACATTTATAGTTTGTATTGCTCAGCTGAAAAACTTACTACAGTTCAAGAGAATGAAAGTTTAAAGAACACTCTTCGAAAATCAAAAATTGAGATCAACTAAACTGATAGAGCCATTGAAACAGAAACGTCCGTTGAAGAGAAAGAAGAAAAAAAGAATGGACAAAACAATTATTTTTCAATTTCGCAAAAGCAATCCTTTTTGTCGAAATTGAACAGAGAATCGTGTGAGAAAAACGAACGTTTTGAGAGCAAAAAAGCGATTTTCAATTTTCTGCAGGAGGAAACGTTAAGTGTAAGTGTTCTATTTTGAAAGAGCAGGGAAAAAAGACAAAGAAAAAGGCATTAAAACAAGAAGCGTAAACTTACAAAAAAGAGCAATAAGGAAGCTTTAACATCTTTTATCAGCGTAGCACATTTGTCGCATAAATTGAGCCTCCATTTTATCATAAATTTCGCTGAGCTAATCCTTTTTGCGAGAGGGTTTGTAGTAGAAAAGTCACTCAAGGGGTCTTTTCAAACGATAGGACAAAACGAGGAAAGCTTTTCAGAACAAAATGTTGCAGAAATGCCGATCAAAGCTTATTTCCGATGTTTTTTGGGCTGCTTTTTTTTTTGAGATTTTTGAGATTCCAATTGCATGACTCCAGCTCATAATTTTGTTTTGAAGCTAGTCATTAGCGGTTGAAGCTAGAAACTCCTCAAGCTCATGTAACATAGAGAAAGCTGGAAATCGAGGCTGTGAGATCCTTTTCAAGCCCATATGAACAATTCAAAAATTTTAAGTTTGATGTGATCTTTTGAAAAACGATGGAATCTGTAAATCTTGAATTTACACCCTCATGAAGTGAATCCAGTCCCTTTTTGACTGATAGCTTTTTTTGTTCAAACTTTTTAAATTAAATTAAAAAAATATAAATTTTTTTCAGCTTATTTCGAAGCTTGGAATTATGAGACTTCAGAACTCAGTTTTAAAAGGAAAAAAAAGTCGGATTTGAAACCAACCGCTGTATAATCCTTGAAGTACGTAAAAAACAAGGATGAAAAAAGTTCTAATAGAAAGTTACATTATTTATTTGAAAGTTTTGACTTTGAGACCTTTTCAAGCTGGTCCAGCTCTTTTTGAAACGAGGAAATGACCTCATCCCAGAAAATAGGATCGTCCAGTCTAGTGGCAGCCGTGTCCGTATATGCAAATCCTTTTGGCCGAAAACCTTTTTGCGGTGCCAAAACACTTGTCTTGAGCCCTCCCCAGCCGAATGAATGACATATTGCTTTTCATATTGTTCTCAGGAAGTCTAAACAAGATATTGAGCTGGTTGATGTCATGTTGATGTCATGGTGACGTTTAAAAGTGAGGTCTAAAGGTGCCAACAGCACTTAAGTGATCCCTTGAATCCACAAAAACAGAGAAACTTGTTTTTACTCATTTTTAAGGCAGAGAATCAAAGAAAAACGAATCCAAACGCTTAATGGACGGTAGATATCTTCTCGAATAGTAAGTTAGGTAGTGTTGAAAGGACTTAAGTGATCACTAAGAGATTTTAGAATCTGAGAGTTTTTTCTACATATTTTGAAGAAAGTGATTAAAAAAACTGCTGGAAGGTCTCGGACTTTCAAGTGAATAGTTGAGAGGTGCCAACCCTAGAGTGATCACTAGCTTGCCTAATGTCCTCAGAAATGCTGTACAGTTGTTTGATTCGCATACAAGTCAGCGTAAATCGGCTCTCGGACGATTCCTTTTTTTGGAAGTGAGACTCTGGAATCAGTAAAGCGATTACTAGATGAAAGAAAGTGAAAAGAGAATTTTGGAAGGATTCTCGTCGTTATAGTAAATTTTTAAGTGATGTTAAAAACAATTGAGTGACCAGTAAAAAGTTTATAAGTTCATTTTAATCTCTCTGGACAGGAAAATGCGCCAAATTTTCTAGAAATTGTAGTCTAAATTGACGTGACTGCATGGCGGTAGTATGGGGGTGTGGGTCAAAAACAATACGAGTGGATGATGATTCTCTTTGTTGGGGGCCCATTTTTCCCATCGTTGAAAGCTTCGATGAATAATTGAGTGGCGGTCACTTGAGAGGCTCGATGCAGAATTGGACGCAATAATTATGACGAGAAGTGGTCACTTGACGGATTTCTTTGATTTTGAGATATTGTAATGACACTAAGAAACTTCGTTCTTGACTCCAAGAGGTCACTTGAGGGAATTTAAGAGAATTTCAGGCATTTTGGTATTCACATCAGTAAGGTTCTTTTCTCTCCATCCTATCAACTGAATTTTTCTCACAAAAAGCTCTTTCTGCAAGAATGAGCAATATTTTGCAATAATGAACTGTATATCGAATTTATGAGAGACTTAGCTTGATAATTCGAAGTAGAACTGTCTAATCTTTCTTTCCGTTCGAAGTAGTCACTCGAACTTCGAAATGTTAAATATGAGCAATGCTTCAAAGTTCTGAGCAGAGAAAAGATGATTAAAACGATTATTTAAGCAAATAGAACAAGTTATGATATGATAACGCATCACACTAGGGAGTGTTGTGAAAGGAGAGACGGCAGAGATAAAAAAGAACGATTTTCGCTACTTATGGCCCAGAATATGAAATCAGCTGAAGCAATTTTTTTTTTCAACCTAAAAAGGCGGAGAGAGTCGGGCGCAGAAAAACAACAAGTTAACTGCCCCTCCGAAAAAAGAAAAGGAGATTTGTTTATTTGTTTTTTGCGTGGCTCGTTCACAACACCAGGTGGAACGCCTTTATGGAACAAAAATAGGTATTTTAGTGCTATGAACAGAGTTTTCAGTTGGGAAAAGGGGTACTCTCCCGGACAAAATGGTTTGAATAACCGAAAAAATTACTTTTTGAAAAAAAGTTGTTCAGGGCGCTAAACGAAGTATTGAATAAGAAGTCAAAGCCAAGTAAAAATATAAGTAAACTCGGTGAAATAATAAAATGACCTAAAGACCTGAATGAATGGCCGTGGCTTGAAGGCTCTGTCTCACCTGTCAAATCACACCAATCGAAAATCGGTTACCTTTTTTGATAATCCAAAAAATCTTCACACCTCACATTCACCTTGTCAACAGGTT